GAAGTCATTCGGAGACACCGGAGATCAAAATCAAATTGCCACCGTTAAATCGACCATAACCATTGAGGTCCTTGCTTTACGGCGACTAAACAAAACAATGACAATTCTTGATGCAAATTCAGTTGTAAGACATTTCTGGTAATTCGTCTGAAATAAATCTATGTACATTGGATTTTTGTGGGCCAATGATGTTCTTTCATTTTGAAATTGCCACCACCTTTTCTATACAGATTCAAGGACGATTCACCATCGAGCCGGATCATTGTTTCCTCAAGAACTTCTTCACCGACATAACGCTTTCATTAGGTTATTTAGGACGGCAATGGAGGATATGCTTTCTGACGACCACAAAACCAACCAAATGCGAACGTGAATTGTGGTGGAAACTTTGTACCAAATATTTGAATAAAGATAGGAATTTTGGGCGGGACGAAGTTCGCCGGGTCTGCTAGTGTATGTATAAATATTTTTAAGTGTAACAACCATTTTAAATATTCTTAAGTGTAACCATTTTCTTTTAAATGTTTACGCAATTCATTTAGCATTTTTATGACCATTCAAAAAATAAATAAAACTTATTTTTCTCTTTTCCTTTTCTAGCGCTACATGCGTTCGTGATTTTCTTTTCACATATTAAATAGGCAATAAGTGGGTCGAATGTGTTTATAAAAATAGCACAAAAAAATAGAAAGCCACAGCAATCAGAGTAGTATGGGTTATGCGGTGGAGTGGAGTTTTGGATGTTTGTGTTTAACTTTCGTTCACTTATACCAGCAACAGAGAGCAAATATTTTTGCAGCCAAGGTAAATAGCAACACACCGAACGGAGCCTATCAAAGTAAGTAATTTAATTATTTGTGAGTGTCCTTTAAAAGTTTATAAAAATCGTTATCATTTATTTACAATTTAGTACACTTTTAAAAAATATGCAAATAAATATACAACCCAAATATTTATGCGCGTACCACACCACCATGCTCGCACAACCGAGAGCTATCTACGAAGAGGCTGTTTACAGACGAAAAAGTTTCTGTAGTATTTTGATAGCCCAAGGTCTATTTGGCGTAGCAATCATTTTCTCAGGAAACTTCTTTTGATTAAAAAAAGCAGGCATCGAAAATAATAGTTATTTTCAAAATTTCAATTCAAAAAGCCAGTCGGAAAGAATTGGTCTTTTTAACATTCATATATAGCAATGTGATGCTTGTTAGCCAAGGAATGTTAATCTTATATGATTTAATTTTTTTTTACTTTTTTTCGGTTAAATATAAAAGTTTAAATTTGACTTATGTTTTTTCGGTCAATTATAAAAGTTAAATCTGACTTCGGTCAAAATAGCAGTTTACATATTCAAAATACAATATGTTTTATTAAAAAATCACATCCTATCAATTGCAGGTTTCTATCTTCTGTAAATATATTGAGATTCTTTAATTTAAGCTTTAATTTATTCACCTTCTACAGGAATGATTCGGAATTCAATTTAACAATTAATATACATAGCTGCCGGGATACATAAATTTTATACTCTCCCAGTAATCCATAAGGTCCGTATCAACATCAACGCGCTTCTCCTTATAGTTGCCTAGTCAAGTGTTCATTTTTTTTTTACCGAAAAAATTAAAGTCAATTTGTAACTTTTATTTTTGACCGAAAAAATTAAAGTCAATTTGTAACATTTATTTTTGACTGAAAACATATCGGTGAGAAAACAACGATTATTTTAATTTTTTTTTTTGAAAAAAAGCATAACCGTAACGGTCCTTGAAAAAAGATAAAAATGGATTCCTAAAGAAATATTTTAATACTTTAATATAAAAAAAATATCTCAAAAAATGTAAAAGCATTGTTGCTGATATTCCTATAAATAAAAAAAAACCATTGAACAGTACTGATAAGTTGATGTCCTTTCAGTGAAGCTGCAAGTAAATCTGTATTTTTTTAATCAACAAAAGTCAACAATTGCACATATTTTCTTTAGTTAATACGACTATCTACAGATTGAAAAATGTAACTAACAATAGAAAACCCTATCGTCCAATGAAAACATATCACCATTAAATCCTTACATTTCAAACTTTGTGTTAATACATTTAATGAGATTGAATGGCAATCAATGGAAAGAAATCAACACACAGCCACCCGTACAGATTGATCTATGGAAAATATTGAAAGTGAATGCTATATCCCAAAGGTGTTGCGCTTACTTTGTAAAACTGGCGAAAGATATATGNAACTTTGTGTTAATACATTTAATGAGATTGAATGGCAATCAATGGAAAGATATCAACACACAGCCAGCCGTACAGATTTAATCTGATCTATGGAAAATATTGAAAGTGAATGCTATATCCCAAAGGTGTTGCGCTTACTTTGTAAAACTGGCGAAAGATATACATATGCACAAATGTATGTATATGCACTATTGGTTTAAAGTTTTTATAAAAGCAGCAGCATCCTTTCGTTATTCTCAGCTTGTGTGCGCACAAATGTATGTGTGCATACAAGAGTACGTGGCTGTGTTGTCCTTTGAAATGAAATTCACACACACGCAAGCATAAACCTACATTCGCATTCGTTGGGTCGTAATAAAAATAGAAGCGCATAGATGCACACTTTTGTGCAGACGCACAGCTGTTGCGCACAGCTGGCAATGATAGGCAAGCGGGACCAGTGAGACGCACGTGACTGTCGGACATGTAGCAAAAAGAGGTCACCGAAAATGAAGCCAAATCACAACACCGATGCATATCACTTTCAGTGTTGCATTTTTTGTCTTTTTCTACCGAAATTGGTATGATTATTTTCTCTCGCGAGGTTTGCAGTTTAAAGTGAATTTTGGTAAATTCTGGCCAAAAGTATTTATTTAACAAATTGTGATTGAATTGGGCATTGCTCTCAAAAAGTCGAAATGAAAAAAAATTTATAAATTTTGAATCCTTAACTTTCAACTTAAAAGTCATAATACTTCGTGTGGGCCTTTTAGCAGTTAGTTTGAGAACACGGTTCGATGAAATGCACCACAATCAATGAAAAGTGAATTTTGGATTTTTAGTTAGTTACAGATTTTTTGTATTTCAGCGATGATGTGAGATAGGGTGTTTCTATATATTTCAATTTAAATAATATAATTTAATGCAATAGCCTAAGAAAGGCTCATACCGAGTTTAGTACGGATTGGCGAAGCGAATACTGTTTTAAATACAATATTGCATCATAAGTGGGCGAGGCCACTCCTATTTTCCAAAGATTTCGAAATAATCCTATTTTGTTCCAAAATTTTACTTCACATACCAATTTTCAACAATTTGGATACAATATTAACCGAAATATCGTAGATTTATCTAAATTGATATTTAACTAAATTTTAACGCTTGTATGCCAAAACAATTTATTTGATCATCACTTATATAACATCAATGTAAAAAGGAAAACAAATGTTTATTCTGTCTGGGAACGGTGACTGGGAAATGTTTTTTGGAATGTTCTCTATCGGGTGTGACTATTTTTTAAAGTTTCCTTCAAAATTTTGTCAAATTGGTTTATGGCCGCCTAAATCGTTCAAATACCCTTACGTGCGTCGTCATGAGTCACCTTGCTTCATAATCGACTCCAAGCTACTTCTTTTATCGATTTGAAATATAAAATTATTGGAAAAGGGTTTTGTTAGAATTTTGATATATTACAAGATTACGCATTATACAACTTGGGTGTTAATAAAGTACTGAACGCCTGAAAAGATCAGAACTCCAGAAAAGCTTAGAGTAGCATTACATAACAAGCTCTACAGGCATTCAGCGCATTTCAGGCTAAGGCTAATATAGGTTACAAGAGGAATTTAATTGGATTTTAGTAGGAAAATATTTCGAAGAGGGTTGCCACCTTTTTTTTGGAAGTCAAGTTTAAATTAGAAATGTTCAGCTTGAACATGTAGAGTTTTGTGAGGTTTTTGAAGAGGGTTTCCACCTGTTTTAAATTTAAATTCAAATACAATTATATTATAGGTAAGTTTAATGAGTTATTACAATCTAAGTTTTAATCAGAAGAGTCTTGAAAAGGCTTTATTTCGAAGCAACATATATATAGCAGGGACTACACATATTTAAAAATTTAAATTCAACTTGAATTATATTCAATCTGAAGGTTTCTTAGCAATTTGTCATTTGACACCCATATATTAATTTTTCAGATAGCTTGCGATTAATTAATTTATTTTGCCTTTTCGAACAGGTGGCAACCCTTTCCAAAATACTTTCAAACTACAACTTTTTTAAGCCTCTTGTCATCCATTCTTTAATATAATTTTCAAATAAATATTTCCCTTAATTCTAGTCGAATTTGATTTTTTAAACAGGTGACAGCCCTCCTCCATGAGTATGGAATGGATTTTATATACATATATGTATCTATACCAAGTTCTTGTAATCTATCAAAAATATTTTCTGAGATATGATATGCCGTATGAAATTTCTGTTTTGTGGGAGGTGAAACGATCCCTCGTGTACAAAATGGCACCAGTGTACAAAATTTAGTGGGAATCGGTTGAGTAGTTTAAGCGTAGCAAATAAACAAACTCACTTTCGGATTTATAATATTAGTAAGGATTATGGAGTTTACTCTTACTGTGGAGTTCTAATCATGTGGTTTTCTTCTTTCTTGGTAAACATTGCATTTATAGTATTAATTGGTAGGTACATTGTCAACTTTTTTGGTAACTTTTAAGAAAAAAGTGGCGGCACGTTACTTTCTACTAATAACATTACGACGTTTGTCATGACATATCGAATAGATTGCGTAGTGAAGGAAAAAAAATTAAAAAAACACCTTGATATTTAGTCGAAAATATGAAAGGTAGGAAAGGGATTCAAAGGGATGCCTATAAAATGGGTTACAAAATTAATAAAAAAGTTTCAATACAATAAACACAAAAACATAGAAGTATACATATGTGTACATATACAAAAGCAGTAAAGTTGAAATATGGTCATACTTACAGTGAACGACCCTTAAAAACTATGTGCTCTGCGAATCGCCCTCCTCGGCTGGCGATGCTATATTGCTGTCCGATGTTGAGAGTGGCCGGCAGATGCCCAATTTAGTTTTCCCCGCTGGCATGCCTTTTAGTATCGCCACTGCTTCATCCAAATCGATGCCATGCAAGCTATGTTCACCAACGCTAACCAGTCGATCGCCAGGAAATATATCATTTGTTGCCTCTGCTGCGCCACCGCGTATAAGTCCACGTATTACGATGACAGTGCCTTCGGAATCGAGTGGATCTTGATAGTCAAGTATCGAGAAACCGAAGCCTTGCTCAGTTTTCTCAATTTCAATGGTAGTAACATCGCTGCTCCAAAGCGCCAGTCCCGAAACGTTTTCCAACGATTTGGAACGTTGCTGATCGGTCAGCGTGGCAGTGCTCGATGTATAGAGGGAACTTTCCGATTGCGCTTTGGTTAACAGATTTTGTAGACTCTGATGGCCGCCAGGCAGTAGTGAACGTGTTTCGAATGCTTCTGGATTTTGTGAAGTATTTATTACGGATGGGGCGGTGTGACCACGCGCACATATCAATTTAACATGCGTTGGCAGCTCTTTGAGTATTTTAACGACTTCGGTATGTTTGAGTCCTTGCAATTTGTATTCGTTCACTTGCAGCAGCTCGTCACCCGGTTTCAGTATGCCTTGTCGCCCCACAGGCCCATCCTCCAGTATGGAGCGTATATAGTGATGTGGACGCTTTTCGATGCCGCCCTCGACATCCACGGTGCCCTCCAGGCTGATTCCTAGACCTGAAAGTTTATTTATTTCGGCTACAATAATTTCACTTTCAGGAAACTCACTTTTCCAGGTCAGCTTCAGCGTCTCCACACTGGGCGGGGCTAGAGTTGAAGTGGCGGGCTTGGGCGCTGGTGTTGTCATTGCCGTTCTGGGCGCAGATATTGACGCAGGTATTGCCTTTGTTGTCACCACCACCGTCGTCGTAGTTGTCGTTAGCTGTGTTGACGTGGCGGATGTTGTCACTGTAACCGATGAGACAGACTTCTTTCGACTGCCGTTTTGCTGTTTAATCGATTGCGGCGTTTTCGGTGTCTGCAGTTCTTTCACGGCAGACTGATCCTCAAGCGTCACCGAGTCATCTTGATCATCACTATCGCCGTTGTCACCACCATTAATATGCGTAGCTTTGCCATTCGCCATACGCTTGGCATCTGGGGTTGTGGGAGTCCTTTGTCGCTTTGCATTGCTGATGTCACTGTGGTCGCTGCGGTCCAACATGTATGACATGTTAGAATCGACCGTCTCTCGCGACGGAAAATCTGCGAACTCCATCATGATTATGCCCCCTTCAGTGGCTACAGAATCAGCATCAGACCGTGGCGGTAGCCAGGAGAGTGTTGCTATCGAAGGTGATGCAGGCAGTGAGCTCTGTGACTGCGTCTCTCCCTTTAATTCCGTGAGTGCATTTTGTAAATGTTCGAATTTGCGTCCGCGCAAGAATCGTTCCAATGTAAGGTGTACTTCGATGTCGGTATTTCGCAGAATTTCGACCGCTTGATGGTTAGTAACACCGGCTAGCGAACGTCCATCCACAGCAACAATGCGATCGTTGATCTGTATACGCCTACTCACCTCAGCGGCGCTGCCCTCGATAATGCTCTTTACGAATATACCTGAAAGATCTTCCTCTTCGCAAACGTATCCGGCCACAGTTATGCCAAGTCCGTAGACATTTTTGTGCAATTCCACGACATAAGTTTCCGTCTCGGGTGAATCGATGTAGTTCGATGAGGCCGATGAGCAGCGATCGGCATCATTATTCGCTGCGTCCGGTGTGATCGTTGAGGTGCCAGCAACTTCGCCAGCTATCACAGTCTCAATATGTTCCAATTGCATGGAGTTTGAGTTTTTTTTGATGGAGTTGGTGGTGGTGAGATCGAGCTGCTGTAGCAGCGAGCCCGTACTGACTGATGTACCAACGGTCGACGCTGTCATCGTGATCGACGTTGCTGGCGCGGGCGGTGGGGGCAACAGTGGTGGCGGTGATGGTGATACAATCGAAAATGGTACGATGTCCAAATCTTTGGGGCACATGCGCGCCGCTACGGATGAAGACAACGGCAAATCTGTTGGTATAGGTGGCAGTGGCAAATCAGCTAGTTCAGTGTCCGGCGTTGGCAGGAAGCAGCCGCCGCCATCGCCAACGCTTGTAGCACTAGTAGCAAAGCTGGGGTTTTGAAAGAGATGCCGTGACAGTTCTTCTGGGTCGGAGAGGAGCTTAGTTGGAATAATTGGCGCTTGACTTGCCAACGTTTGTAAATCGATGGCTGTCGGCTCCACTGGCCTGGCAACAATCAATCGAACCTGAGCTCCAGTCTGACGAAGAACCGTTGCTACTTGCTCGGAACTGAAGCCACGCAAGTTCACATCGCCAATTTGCAACAAATGATCGCCACACTGCAAACGACCATCACGTTCCGCGACACCGCCCGGCGTTAGGGCTTTAATCACAACACCAGTGCTGCGTCCACCGACCAAAATAAAGCCCAAGCCATTGCCATCGTTAACCAAATCGATTACTTCAACCTGAGACCACTCGGTACTCAAAACCATTATGCCGCTATTAGGACTGTTGTCGCCGCCTTCTTCGTCACTTTCCTCGTCGCCGAAGTCTTCGTCACAAAAACTGCAACTTCGGTTTTTACCTGCCTGTCTGCTGCTGCGTATCGCCGTCGTTTCCGCGTTCGAGAATGTATTTGCCGTTCTTGCCGTAGTCGTTGCGAGCCGTGGGCAACTACTGCTGCTGTTAACATGACTTGTGGCTGGCGACACCGACAGCGTCAGCGAGAACGTGCGCAGATATGACTGCCACTTCGAAAGCGGCGTACAGCAATTTGATAAGGATGTGGAACGTAGTGGTGGCACTGGTGGTGGTGGCGATGCGCACTCTGGCCTCGATGTTGTGCACGGTTGAGGCGGCAATGCCTTGAAGACGATAGTGCATTGGGTACAGGATGCCGAAGAGGAAGTTTGGGAAGCGGAAGAGGAGGAGATGCAGGACAAAAGGGGTGCAGATGATGTGGGTGTTAGGTGTGGCGAGTTGGGAGCAACGGCTGCAACGATTGGCTGCTGTGTCTCGTACTTTAGTATCGACCGTTTTTGTTGCTGTTGCGTGTAGCTGTACGAGTATTTTCTATCGAATTCGTTGTCCTGGTTGAGGCAGCTGTCGTTTGCTTGTCGCGTGCGTCAAATGACGTTGCTGCAAACTCCACTGACGCCGGAAAATCGATGGTTTTCTAGGTTATCAATGGCAAAGTGTGGGTGATTGTCGTGGCGGCGACGATTGTGAGTGTGGCAGCTGTGGCGTAATATGCCCGTTAGCTGTTGTGTATTGCAGCTGTTACTTTGCGCGTTGTTGCCTATTTTTGTATTGCTGTCGTTAACTTTAGTGTTGTTGCAGCTATTTTTATGAGTGCAGCAGCTGCTGATTGAATGGTTGGTTGCGCTGCTTTTATGCGTGCTGTTGACGAGCTTGTAGCTATTGTTGTTGTCGTTGTTATCGGTTATATTGCTGCTGCTGTTGTTGCTTAAAGTTTGAAACCCATCCCTTGCAGCATGTGTAACGTGCATATTAACCACAACCAAAACTACAACTATCCCGTCCCCGGTGCACTCGGAGCAGGAACCACAGGCGGCGTTTGTGCTGCCTCACCACCTGGCCACCTGATCGGCAGGGTGTTGCATGAAAGATTTACTTCAAATATATGCTTGTCTGAATTGAGTCCACCAATATTTTTGTTGTTCGTGTTATTATAGGCGCTTTGGTTTTGTTATTGTATGCTGTGAAAACATCAAATTAGCGCACTTTAGCTCACTTGACATTGCGCAGATACTCTTCTAGGGTGCGATTGCTGGGGAGAATGTTAACTTTTGGGGCGTTAATAGTTAACGGTACTCTGTGTTGTTTTATTGAGTTGAATGTACATTAGAGTGGTCCAAAAAATTTTTAAGAGATAGGGTTGGGGGCAACTTCGAAAGTTTTTCCTTATGCCGAAAGAGGTGCTGGCACCAAAATTTACGTTTCTAAGTATACATTTAGAGGATGGTCATGAAATGTTTATATTTTACTCTAGAAGCAATTGTACATATATTGACCGAACAATTGGTTAAAAAATAGACCAATTCAAATTTAAATTAGATAAAAAAATATGACCCGCCTTGGTTGTCATTTTTTTAAAAATCATTAATATTTTTGTTAGTTTCAAAGGGATTCAGAAGCACATTTCAAGGTCATTGAGCACCCTACATTGGTTACAGTGGAAAATTTAAAGTTGATTAAGATATTATAAATACCAAAAGGAAAAAATAAGAGGGTGCCCCGATTTCTATGATGATTTTTTTTTCACCCCTTACAAAAATTGGACCACTCTAATATACATACGGTCATATATGTAAATGACGACTCCGGGAGGTGGATATTGTCTATATACAACAACAAATTGCGTAATAACACCAAAAAGGCCAATTTTTTCGCCTCCTTGTACTAACGATACGTGCATGGACTATATCATTGCGCCACTCTCGTAATGACTTTCGGTACGTGCAGACCTCGAAAATGCGTACATACGTGCGCGCCTACTAGAATGTTGACGCGATACAATCGCATAACGAGAAATGCATAACGACCGAATACTCGTACATTCGTACATATGCGCGTGCATACTAGTTTGTATGGCTGCGGTACCGGGTGTAATCGCTACAATCGTGTGTGCTACTTTGTGTGGCAAGCGACGCTTCAAATAATCGACTGCGGCATATGTTGCTTTCACAAACAACGGCTAAGTGCCATTGGAAACGCTCGCGATGATAAAAACGTTACGCGCTGTACCGTTTAATTGCACAAAACCGCATCGCAAATGTGGTACGGGCGTTTCGACGCGTTCTAATCGAGCAACTGATTACGAGCATTAGACGCTTGTCAATGGGGGTGCAGATAGTTCAAGCTGTTTATATAAATGCATGGTTTGCATATCTACTGATAGGTGTATGCGTGTTTCATACGCATGCGGGCGTGTTTTTGTTTATCTATTTAAGCGTGCTCTGCTGGCTGCGGGCGGCGCTGTTTGCCTAACTAATTTTCGTAGCTCTTTTATCATTATGCGCTTTAATGATGTGGTTAACAACTGGCTGATTGTCTGCATGTCTTGCATATTGTTTGCTCAGATATGCGCGCATTATCTGTGACATTGCTGGGAGGACTTGCATGTGGCGCATCTCAGGTTCTAGCGAGTGTTTTTCACGTGAAGTGTGTTATGTTTGGCAACTAGAATGAATTTTTGTGTAAGATCAAAAAGCAGTTCAATACCTTTGTGGGCGTTTGCTAGTGAGGGGTTGTGGTGGCCTTCTGGTCACTCGAAACTTGACCTTGTCCACCGAAAGATGTAGTATGCTTTTTCGGGTCCGACACGTTTTGTCGGGTTGAAGAAAAACTTCACTCTTAATCAAAGCTTTCTCACACCAGAGTTGAAGTGATAGGCCTTCAAGATGGTCACAATCGTTTGCTTGTACAGCAGCGAGTTTACCCGCAGTTGTGAAGCGTGCCACTTCAGCTGTGACATTCGCCAACATAGAGCCATTTTCGCAGCCTGCGCCTGCTATTGTTAGGTCAGGCGAGCAGCTGAAACTAGCCACAATTCTTTTGAAGCAATCGTCTTCCATGGTGCAGAAAGTCAAATCGTCCATCTGATCTGCCAATAAAGCAAAAGCTAACTGTTTCTGTATAACCTTGTGCTAACAAATTGAAATTAATTTATTGCTTTCCTTCGCTTCTTTCCCTTCGAACTGAGTTATTCATTTTAAATGGGAAACGAAAATCTATTGACCTTTTTTCTTCGTGTAGTGCCTACATTTACGTATGTGTGTACATATGTATGTATGTAGATATGTTTGTATCAGATTTTTTATGCGCCATTGAACACACGGCCTGGCTGCCGATACAAGGATTGAGGTCATCATTGAGGTATTAGCAGAGCGAAGTTGCATAAATTTGCAAAGGCTAAAAAAAGGTTGATAATTTAAGGAAACCCATTATTTATATTTAAATTCCATTAAGTTTAATGAGGAAGCTTGCAATGTTGTGGGAAAAGGCAATTTAAACAAAAATTTAAAAATAGATCTTACTACTTAAACAGTAACAAAAATATGATCAAAAAGTTCAAATTTTATTGATTAGGTTCTTCCGCTAGTATATTTTAGTCATGGGTTACTAGTACATATAAATATTACAGATTCCAACAGTAGGTAAAGCTTAGTCGCGTAATTTAATAGGTGAGGTTACGTGTCTTTCATGCTTATGGATTTGAAGGCTTACGAACCAGCAAGCGAAACACAAAATAACTGCTTCGAATGTTGGAAAAAACCTGTTCCGAGCCCAAGAAAAATATGCACATATAAACAAGTTTTATTTTCGAGGAAATCAAAATTGTTTTTTTTTTCATTACAAATTTGTAATTCCCTATATCAGCTTACTGCACTTTGGTACTGCTAGATTAGTTTCTTCGTCTTTGTGTATCAGAATACATCCGTGACATGTACTGAACTGATTGCAATCTTCTACATATTGCCTTTTTGCCCATGGAGATGATGCAAAAGTCAACATCTTGCCAATTGGATTTTTCTTTGAAAACGTTGCCAAAATGAAAATATTTAAGGCATCTCATTCTAGTAAGAGCACAACTGGGTACACTATAAAAAGGAATTAAAATAGCAGTTGTAAGACCAGAAGAAGGCTTGTAAAGGGTGCAACGGTTGGCAAGTCTATCCATAACAGATGCACAGATTTGGGGGCAAAAATGAACGCGGCAATAGAGCTGACCATTGAGTTGATTGGGAGTGTTGGCTTATTAATTTCTCTGAAGAAAACCAAAAAAACCCATAGGTAGCCTGTCTGATTGTATATGGTTACCTAATTAAATTTGCACGATAGCTTACAGGCTAACCTAATATTCGCGGCTTGCGTTTTGGTACGCACGCCGTCGAATTTGTTTTTTTGCGTCACCCGAAATTGGCTTGCGTGCGTTTGCATTTGATTTCATTGAGCGAAACGTCAAATCAAAATGTCACGCAGAACAAAAATTGGAAATTGAGTTAGCTTCATACGCACGCCGTTCAATTTCGGTTAGTCCCATACAAGTTGTATGTGCATGAGAAATTTTTGACAGTAAATTTGCGGCGTGCGTGAATATTAGGTTACAGTGTTACATATACATATGTATGTCTTGGTGCTATAATCAAGGGAGGGGCAGATTTTTGGCTCTTAAAGGAGTCATAAAGCCAGCAAGTGCTACGCCAAATGTAAAGCAGTTCTCAGGGTAAACGGGGTGTAATAAATACATTAAAAGCAACATATATATTAGTAATGAGATTCGGAGTACAAGAAATTTTATTACGCTCTTCTTCTCTCTTCACGCTGGCTCTTGATGTCACCCCTCATCTAGGACCTAAATTTGCCAAGCCGGCTTCTAAGTGCAAAAGGCTTCTGCGAGGCACTTTGTTACCTCTGCTATAATCGATGACAGAACTAACCTACGCTCGCAATCGGAATACGCGACAGCGAAGGCTTTAAGGATATACAGTGCCCTCTTGGGAATGTTCCATAATATAGGTGGACCTCTGCAGACAGCGTGTTCTCTTGGGCAAGATCTATGAAAGTAAATTAATACCGGCACTCCCCAAGCTCTGTGTACTGAGAGTTGCATGTGTAAACAAAACTACGCTAGGCTAGGAAAGGATTTAATTCGAGCAACGAAAGAGTCTGAACATACCGACCATAGCATCCCATTTTGAACATACGCTACGACCTGAAAATATAGTTGATGTCATGTTGACATCGAATCAGCTTGGGATGTAGCAAACATGGCAAGAACAGAGATACACTCACAGCTAAGATGAGAAGATGTTATAAGAAGAACCAGGGCAAGTAGGTGAAAAGCGCAGAATATGACACGTCGGAAGGTTAATAAGTGACAGACTAGAGCTTAGTGCCCTACCGATGAAATATTTTGCGGTAGTACCGTAAGGGTCGGTATTTAAATGGTAGGAAGTTTAATTCGGGTTAAAGTCCCACACTGACGGAGTGTGGCTTCCAGTGCTTTCTACTCGTTAAAAAATGTACGTTTATATGAAATCCTCTAAAGCTAAGGCCATCTAGGGCTTAGGGCGTCAAAAGAGATGTAAACGACTTAGGGCGGCTAAAGAGATGTACCTCTGTACATGTACAGTGTTGGGGTTGAATAAAGGACCAGTGAATATCAGATCACGAACAAAACTTTGCCCCGACTTCAAAGTTTACTTCGCCGAAAGAAGTAAATGAGAATCAGACAAAGTTTAAAGCTGCCATGAGATTGGAATCCAAGAAGAAGAAACAACGGAACGGAATTTGGCGTGTTTTTCTAGTACTCTCATTGTGGAAAACTTACGGACTTCCAGATTATTGCTTCGCTTTTCGGGCTTAAACTTATACAATTGACATGGCGGCAAAGCTCGTAAGCAAGATGGACGTTGTTCACTCACAATTCGTATTGGTGGTAGACATTCAGCCTTCAATTAAGGTCCTCGTATCAGCAGCGAATAACTTGACATGCATACAAGAATGTACAAAATCACAAAAATCTTCTAGACAACAAAATGTCAATCTATGCTAGGCTTTGGGGCACAGTGATGTCTCGGGAAACGGATCGGTAAGTAGAGTAAACAGAGTCTACAGAAACTATTCAAATGGAGCATAAATTTTCTTATGGGAAAACTAACCGATCAGGGGGCTATTGACCACATGGCTACGTACTTCCGTGCCTCGTATAAATATTTCTGTAAGATTTTCTGCGTGAATGGTCCGCGTTTCAAACAAGGAGACTCAGTAATGCATACAGTGCCTTCTATACCGTCGCAGTCGAACTTGCGGTTATATAGAAAACTGTGGAACCTTTACGTACTACCTCACAATACTCCTTATTTTTCTCAGACAGCGAGGTAGCTCTAAAGGCATTAAACTCTGTCACAAGTAATTCGCAGATTGCATTAAATTGGCGCACAGTACTTAACATGACCGAAGAGCAATTAACTATTCACCAGATATGGATGGCGGACGAGCTTACAAATAAGGGTACTTTATTTCCACTTTCGACATCTTGAAAGATGTTGAACATGTAGCTTGCTACCCGCAAGCTGAGCAGAGAAGAAATTTAATGGTCATGGGTCTGCTGGCATGTCACATTTATTCTGTATTTATGAAAGAACTTGAATCCGTAAAGCACTTGTTTGGACAGGGAGTGATCTGCATTTTGAATGCGGAATCTAAGATTCATGGACGCTGGAAGTTTTGGGAACCTGAGCTATATAACTTGGATTAATATATGGCGATTGTTTGAATTCATCAATTAAGTATACATATTGATTTATATTAAAGGGGGCTTGTCATTCACATAAGCTTGAAAATTTAAGTTACAGTTTAAACGGAGGCGTAAAAGAAGCGATCAATATCAATGCCGACAAGTTTCAGCTTGAAACCATATCCTTATCACTATACCCGAAGGAGAATGCTTAGGGATTAGGTTTACTAAGGTTTGATTACCCTAATGGTCTTTAATTAGGGTAATATATCACGAAACTGGCTCATAGCATATCCATGTGTACATGCCAACTTTTGATCTGAATACTTCGCATAGAATGAGTGAAATTTCCCAGTGATAAATATCCATACAAAATGTGAGGGGTCGTTTATCTAAGCCCTAACTGAAATGAAGTGCCCCACATACAAAAAAGGGTTTGTTTTTCCAGCGAATTACAATTCTGTGAGTATTTTGAAAACTCAACCAAAATGCTTATGTGTATTGAAGTATGTAGTTTTTAAATTTTGTTTAACGAGTATCAGGGGTTCTTTTCCGTCAAGTTTTTTCTGTGATGGACTTTTTACTTGCACACTTTTTTCTTATTGGCCGCTCAGAGATACTAAACTCAAACAAAGTTCGAAAAGTATTCAAACAG